ACAGAAAGACAAATTCTACCTGATCTCACTTATATGTAGACTCTAAAAAAGTGGAACCCACAGAAGCAGAGAGTAGAATGGTGGTTCCCAGGGGCTTGGGGAGATATTGGTCAAAGGACACAAAATTTCAGTTAGGGGGATAAGTTCAGGAGGTAGATCTGCTGTACAGTGTGGTGATTATAGTCAGTAACAATGTTACTTGAAAATAGTTAAGAGAGTAGATTTTAAGTGTTTTTATCGCACAAGACATGATAAGTATATGAAGTAGTGCATATGTCAATTATCTCAGTTTAGCCATTTCACAACTATACATATTTCAAAACATGTTGTACACCATAAATATATACAGTTTTCATTTGTCCATTAAGTAAATAAATAAAATGAAAAAAAAGTCCAGATCAGACATCAGGACGCCTGGCCTTCTGAGCATCTGTGGGTGGAGTGTAAGACCACTGGGGAGATGGGCTGCAGAGGCTGAAATGCACACATTCTGGATGTTATGGGGATACATGAGAACAGTGCTACAAAATACACGAGACCATGTCTTCATCTCAGTCCAGTTCGTGCTCTTATAACCGAAAACCACAGGTTGGGTAATTTATAACGAACAGAAATTTCTTGGTTCGCGGTTCTGGAGGCTGGGAAGTCCAAGATCGAGGGGTCACATCTGACAAGTGTCTTCTTACTATTTCATCCCATGGTGGAAGGGCAAAGAGAGGGCAAGAGATGGGGGAGAAAAAGGGACCGAACTTGCCCTTTTATAACAAACCCGCTCCTGCAGTAACAAACCCACCCCACAGTAAGTGTATTAATCTATTCGTGAGGACAGAGCCCTCATGGCATGATCACCTCTCAAGAGGCCCCACCTCCCAACACTGTTGCACTGGAGGTTAAGTTTCCAATATATGCTTTGTGGGGGGATATGTTCAAGCCTTAGCATTCTACCCCTGGCCCTCAAAATTCATGTTCTTTTTGCATGAAAAACACATGTATTCCATCCCAGTAGCCCCAAAGTTTAGACTTATTCTAGCACGAACTCAAAAGTCCGGAGTTCCATCTGAATCAGGTGTTGGTAGAACTCAAGGCATGATTCATCCTGAGGCAGATTCCGTATAGTTATGAGTCTGTGAATCAAACAGGTTACCTACTTCCAAAATACCGTGATGGCCCAGGCATAGAGTAGATATTCCCGTTCCCAAAGGGAGCAATAGGAAATGAGAAAGAAGTAACGGGTCCCAAGTAAGTCCATGACCAGCAAGGTGAACAACGTTAAATCTTAAAGCTGGAGAAGACTCCTGTCTTGCACTCTGGGCACATGGGGTGGGGTTGGGCCCCCAAGGCCTCAGGCAGCCCCACTCCTGGAGCTTTGCTGGGCCAGCCCACCCTGCAGCTCTCACAGCCCACCCTGTTGCGCTCTGGTTGCCCTGCAGTTCTGAGGTCTGGGGGATGGCTCCAATGAGGGGGCTCTCTGTAGCAGCTGAGACCCCACGCTTCTGCTGGGCATTGCCCTGGTGGGGCTCTCCGTGGTGGCTCTGCCACTGCAAGAAGTCTCTGCCTAGACCCCTGGGCTATCCGTGACGTCCTTTGAAATCTAGGTGGAGGCAGCCATGCCCCCACGGCTCCTGCATCCTGTGCCTACAGAATTAGTACCCTGTGGACACCACCAAGGTTGACGGCTTACACCTTCCAGAGTGGCTGGTACCTTCCAGAGTGGCGGGTCAAGCCACACCTGGGCCTACTGAGCCATGGCTACAGGGGCCGAGGAGGAAGCAAAGACTCCAGGTGGCCTGGGCAGGAAGCCCCAATGTTCCAGGGGTGCCCTGGGCCTCTCTTTTGGTCCTTCTCTTCCGCATTTCTAGCAGGTTCCATTCGCGACTGAGAAGTGGAAGGCGCTTGTAAGACAAAACCAACCCTGACATGCAGACCCAAATGATAGCGCATCAGCAATGACCTGCCAAATAGAGTTTGTCTCCCAATTTTGCCAAACACCGTCGCACATCATTCTCCCTGAGTGGCGCACAAGCGGTCCCCTAGCAAATTGAAACCCGAGCCACTTGCATTTCCCTTGTAACGCTGATAGGAACTGAGAGGTCTGGATCAATAATGTGACTTGTTCTCGTGCTTTCTGTCTTGATTGTTTTCAGTCTAAATGATAATACAAACAGCACCTCGTAGATACTGCACGACCTCAACCTGATTTATCATATTTGCCTCCACTGTTAGAATTAGGTACAGACTCTGCAATCACCCAGCAGCTTACGGAAGCCAGCACGGCCTCTAGAAAAAACAAGTGCCCCATACAGATTCGAGAGGTCATTATGCGAATCCAAACAGAAATTCACTGGGGGCTCACTCGTCACATGTAATGATTTTTTTTCTGTAACTGGAATGATTCCTTTCCTGGTGTGGATTTTTATCATTTTCATTAGATGATTTCCTCAGAGCTGAAATCACAATTGATTATTTGTGTTAGATCTCAGAGAAAAGATGTCACTGCTATTAAATTTTTATTGGATTTGTTCAATCTTTTCCAAATTTCACCACTTGATTGTCACCAGGGAAGAAATATGGTGAGCTTGTTGTTACAGAAAGATGTTATAATTAAACTTGAATAGCACAGTGATGTTCTTCATCTGTATCTCTGGGCCTCTGTTCATGCAGCTAGCACGTACTAATTTATATATATATATTTGGTTGTGTGTGTTCTGTTCTCATAAAAGCACATCATCGCACAGTCCTGTTTTATAAAAGTGAGGATAGCTGAATTACATAAGGAAGATCAGATTATACCCCAAAACTGATTTTTATTATAACTAAATGGAAAGCAATTATACATGATTCATTGTAAAGTATAAAATGAACTGAAACTTGAAGATTTAAAAAAATTACCTCATAATAATACATGTGGTATGTTTGGACTATTAATAGCAAAGAGATTAAGAGCCCAGACGTTAACTCAGTGCACATC